TTATGCATTTGTCAAAACTCATAGAATTGTACAACACAAACGGTAAACTCTAATGAAAACTATGGACTCTGGTTAATATTAATTTATAAATATTGGTTCATTAATTTGAATAACTATACCATGCTAATATCAAAGGTTAAAAATACAAGAAATTATGGTGGGAGGTGTGTGGAGAGCAGGTACATAAAAGCTATCTGTACCACCTGATCAGTTTTTCTATAAATCTAAAAAAGTCTATTAATTTAAAACAATCCAATGGAATGGAAGGAAATGGGCAAAAAATCCAAGCATACATTTTACCAAATAGCCAATAAACACATGAAAAGATGTTTAGCAACATCTTAATTATATATATTATATAGTCATAAAGAAAATGCTAATTAATAACCACAGTAAGCTATATCACACCCACTAAGATGGTCACAATAAAAAAGTCAGATAAAAATAGTGTTGGTGAGCCCTAAGTAGTTTAGCTCAGTGAATAGAGTGCAGGCCTGAAGACTGAAAGATCCCAGGTTTGATTCTGATCAAGGGCATGTACTTTGTTGCAGGCACATCCCCAGTAGGGGGTGTGCAGGAGGTAGCTGATCGATATTCCTCTCTCACCATTGTTTCTAACTCTTTGTCCTTCCCCCTTCCTCTCTGTAAAAAAATCAATAAAGTATATTTTTTTTAAATAGTGTTGGTGAGAATAGACAGAAATAGAACCTTCATATACTGCTAATGGGGATATAAAATGGTGTAGCCACTTTGGAAACAGTCTGGCAATTCTTAAAAATGTTAAATATAGAGTTACCATTTGACCCAGCAATTCCACTCCTAGGCATACACCCATGAGAATTGAAAACATGACCACACAAAATCTTGTACAAAAATGTTCTTAGTAACATTACCATAATAGCCAATATGTGGACACAACCTGAATATCTATGAGCAGAAAAAGATATAAACAAAATGTGGTATATACTAGTATGCATACAACAGAATACTATTTGGCCATAAAAATGAATGAAGTACTGATATATTTTATGAGGTAGATTAACCTTAAAAACATTAAGCTAAGTGACAGAAGCCAGTCACTAAAAAAAGGCCCAAAACACTTCTGGGCAAGATGGCAGTGTACATAAATGCAGCACTCACCTCCTCCTATAACCATATAAAAAGTAAAATTAACTACAGAACAACCAAGATTCAGATGTGCCTGAAATCTGGCTAAATGGAGATACAGAACATGCTAACCCTACACCCACACGTGGCAGATAAAAATGGGAGGGATATTGCTCTGGCCAGATGACTCAGTTGGTGGAACATTATCCAGTACATCAAATGGTGGAGACTTCAACTCCAAGTCATAGCACATAGTTAGGTTACAGGTTTATCCCAAGTCAGGGAATGTGCTCAGGAGGCAGCAAATCAATGTTTCTCTCTCATATAGATTATTTCTCTCTCTCTCTCTCTCTCTCTCTCCCTTTCTCTCTCTCTCTCTCTCCCTCCCTCCCTCTCTCCCTCCCTCCCTCCTTCCCTCCTTTTCTATCTCTATAAAATCAATGAGCATGTCCTTGGGGTGAGAATAGAAAGGGGGAAAAGGAGAGGTATATCTCGGCTGCAAAGTTGTTTCCTGAGGAGCAAGGGGCCATAGCCCCACACCAGACCCCCTAGCCCAGGGTTCCAGAACAATTAAGACAAGGCCTCATAACTTCTGACTGTAAAAACCACAGGGATTGAGGCTGAGAAAGACATAGGGACATAGGGCTGCTGAAGTCCCAGGCAGTTCCTCTTAAATGGCCTCCCCCACTCCTCCGATTCACTCCATCGGAGCTCCAGCACAGGGGCAGCAAGTTGGAAGGCAGCAGAGACATACAGAGGAAATGAATTTTCTGGCATCAGGGTGAGAGCTGGGGAGTGGGGGAGTACTTTCTTCCAGAGAAAAAAGTTTGCAGAGGCCACTGTTCCTTTGATGGGCTCTTCCCCCAAAGAGCTAGCAGGCAGCTGAGTCTACACCAAATTGACTCACACTGTCTGCCCTGCCCTGATAATTCCCTGAGATCCTGTTCCCATTCAACTTTCAGGTCTACTAAAGCTGTTTCCAGTGGTTTTCTCATGTGAAAGGCCTGCCTTGGTTCATGCTTCAGATTTTACTAAAATATCTCAAACAAGCAGCTTCTTAGACAGAGGTCTCAGTGTGTCCCATACCTCTTACTAAGCTGCTTCAAACGCAGCACTAGCACCAGCCACTCTTGTTTACAGCATGGCCTCACCTGGCGATCTCTGAGTCAGGACAGGTAGCAGTCATTGGCAGGACATATGACCCACACAGGGCAGGACACAGGCGATGGCAACCTGGGTCTGTACCTCTGGGGAGGCCCACTAGATAACCCACCCAGTGTGACAGCTTCAGACCACGTCGAAGTATCACCACTGTCAGAGTCACGGTGACAATCAATGAGCCACACTGGCCGGGCGGTTTTTCCATTCTTATATATGACTAGAGGCCCAGCCTGCAATTGAAATTGTGCGAGGAGGTGTCCTACCTCCCGCTATATGAGGAGGCACCCCGCGGGCTGCCACAAGAGTCAAGCCAGATGGCCGCCATGGGCAACCAGGACCCACGTCTGACTTCCCCCGCAAGACCCCCCTGGACTCCCTGCCTGTGTCCACTCGGGGCCGCCAGAGCTGCTGTGCCTGCTCAGGAAGGCCCCCCCATCTCTGTCTCCATCTTCGCTCAGCCCTCACCTACACCCCAACCCCTCCTGTCCAGCTGTCTCATTACAGCATCCCGGCCCAATTTGCATATTACCTCTTTATATATTAAGATATTTCCTAAGTCTTCTTTCAGTACCATTTTTCTTTTGATACTTCAGTAGATGAGTGGATAAAAAAGCTGTGGTACAGTTACTCAATAGAGTACTATGCAGCAGTAAAAAAGAGGGATCTCTCATCCTTTGGGACACCATGGAGGACTTAGAGAGTATTATGCTAAGTGAAATGTCAGTCAGAGAAAGATAAGTACCACATAATGTCACTCTTATTGGAATCTAATGAACAAAATAAACTGACAAAATAGATCCAGAGACATGGAAGCATGCAACAGACTGAGGATTCTCAGAGGGAAGGGGGAGCAGGAGAGGGAAGAGTTCAGCCAAAGAGCTTACATGCAGAAGGGCATAACCCATGGACACAGATAATAGTGGGGTGAAGCCCTGGGGAGGCGACAGCAGAGGGAAGGCAGGTTAATGAGAAAAAAATGGGACCTCTGTAATGCTTTGAACAATAAAGATAACATTTTAAAAGAAAAAAAGGAAAAAAACAAAAACCTTATGTTTAAAACGCAACAGTCAGTGTAACTAAGAATCTTTTTACAGATTGCTTTTATTTTTTAATAGAAATAACAACCATCTCTTACTTTAGTTTCTAGCTCCCACAGACTCAAGTAAAACTCAAAATTTCTTTCAGTTTGCGTTAAATGAGAGAACTGTGATTCATATTTCCAAAGGCAAGAGTGGTATCTCTGTCATTCATTTTGGCCTTTTGCATGCTAAGATACTTAAATTTTAATTTTTCCTTATTACTTAATAATGCTTACTTCCATTTGCTGAACACATATAACAATCAAAGAACTAAGACTTTCTCTGTTTTATTTGAAACTCCCACACAACCTTGTCAACAGATGTTATAATTTCCATTTCATAGGTAAGGAAACTGAGATAGCATCCATTGTTTGGGGCATTTGTACTTAATGATTAAGGGGTAATGATGCCATTTGAAATATATTTTATCCCTCTGTCTAAGTGGATTGAAACAAATCCATACCTACCCAACTTCTACACATTCAACACAGGAATATTTCTATGCTTGCCTCAGTAAGTCATAAACTTCATCCACTATAATCCCAACACTATTTCGTAATACATCTTAGGAGACCAGCTAAACTACCTAAAATTATTCAGAACATAACAATACCTTGGCAATTATATAAAAAGTAAATAAGCATATAAGACATTCTAGGTTTTACATGTCATGCTAAAAATGCCACATAACACTTTCACTTCTTGAGAATTGCCACTGCTTGAGGCACACAAATTTCAAAGGAAAAAAAAGTAATAATTTTCCTGTCCTTTGAAGCAATTGCAATGCAGAAGTTGCTCGCTTTCAAATACTGTAATTCAATTAAAAGCATCTTATCAGAAGAGACAACCATACAGACTTAGTGGAAGTAAGTACAGGTCTGGATATTGTTGAGGCATCATGATATCCTGGCTCCCACAGACTCTAAATTTCTCTCAGTTTGAGTTAAATGAGAGAAACTGCGATTCATATTTCCAGAGGCAAGAGTGGCATATTTTCCAGTAAGTTTCTTGTTCTCATTTTACTATTTTAAGAATTCTGATCACTCCCAGGATTGCTGTGTGGCAAGATCTGAATTCTGGTGACTGATCATTTTCATGACAGGATGCTTTACTAAAACTGTCTCAAAACACTGTTTTTTATTCGTATTTAGCTTCAGTGTATTTATACACAAAATACCACTTCCATGGCATCACGCCAAGAAAAGAAATAGCTTACTAGAATTTCAGTTGACTTTGTTAAAGGAAATTATTTTAAATTAATGTGGCTACTGAACTGCTGCCATCCTTAACCTAAGAAAATATATTCCTTCTAATTTTTGCTATGAACATTTATTTATTTAAGTTAAATTCCAGCTCATGAATGTTGACCATAAAGAGTCTAAACCTTCCTGCTACTATTTCATATTCTTTTTCTAAACAAGGGCAACCACATATTTGCTGCATTAGTATGCACAGCAAAATCACCACCATTAAGTGAAATCATCTATGTATTTTTGGTAGAATCTTTAACAACTTCCACACCCATCAATGAAATGGAACAAGGCTGTTTTGTTTTCAGAGAGCAACAATTTAATCTCTGGTTTACTAGATGGCGCTCAAAATATTTTTCCATATGTTTTTCCACAAAGAGAATCTGACATCAGCATGGTTTACCTTTACCAGTGAATGCAGGCTTTTTTCACCAAACATATCCCAGAGGAAGGTTAGGTCTTCCTGGCTATCCACATGTGGCTGCAGCTGGGCTGGCAGCGCAGCCAACAGCTCATACAGACCTATAAAATGAAAATAAAACACAAAGCGTAATCTTAGAGTGATCTCATTAATTTCACTTAAGGTGTGTGTAAGTGACGGCTGGAACATGTCTTTTTTTGCTGGATTTGTATTCTGGACCATCCAGCAAAAACACTTCTCCAAAGAAGCAAAGGAAGCTTTTTTTATTTTTCAATTCCAAACTCATATGTATTAGTAGGCCAGTTTTTAACTTTCACAGTTGTCAACATTCTACAATCCTCCAAGTTTGCATAACCTGAGACAGAAAATGTGTACAAGCTTTCAATGAAAGAAAAAAAGGCATGCATTCCTTTCCTTAATTGTTATTACATTCCCTCAATGTTAGCCAAAGAGTGAAGTGAGTCACGATTAGGAAAAATTTCTTCCTTAGAAGAACAGAAAATTGATACAGAGGTCCACTAAAAAGGTTTCGTGGTTTCCAAATCATTCCTTATACAGCTTCAAAAACTTCGAATTATTTAATATCCAAAATAAGGTGTAAAAAGGCAGAATAAACCATATTTTATGCTACATTACTGCAGTCACCCACTTTAAAGAAAAAAACAAAAAACACAACAACTATGTAGAACTTAAGTTTACGTTTGTCTCTGACTTGGGGGCTCTGATAGCTCTGAAAATGCGGTTACCAGGCGCTCCCCAATAGACGCTCCCTTGGAGCACAGTAGCGCAGTGTTCCACAGTAGCACACTCATGGCCCATCCATCTCGTTCAGGGGCTGTCAGACTCCTGTCCAAGAAATATTGCAATGGTGCTTGCCCAAGACTCTTCAGGGAGGTGACCTGGCAGAAGTCAATATCAACTCACAGCACATGTTTCATTTCCCAGTGGGATTACATGAGGTAAAAAGGACAAAATTCCTTTTATTTCTGTCTGCTGTCTACAAAAACACCAAGACCTCCTGGGATCTACAACACACGGGACTGTTGTTATTTCTGGTCTGAATAAGTGCTGCTGTTCATCACAGGGACAACTTTACACAATATTTAACAGCAAGGATTGTAGAGTAAATTATAGACAATTGATCATTTTATCTATTACTTTCCTAAAGCATTAAGTATTCTGATAATCAGTAATAATTCACAGCCAAATGCAGTAGTGTCCACTTTGGAAGATAGATATGTAATTTGAAAGATTCGATTAAATTCAAACATTCCTAGGGCTGTATTTGGCCAAAAAGAACTAAAACCTTTAGAGAAAAAAAAAATTATGTCCTTAAGTAGTCTTAGAGTTTTATATTTTTTCCCTTAAAACGCTGACATCCTGCCTAAAATAGCTCTTATTTGCAATTTAGTAAATATTTTAAAGGTATCTCTACACAACTCAATGTAAACAGGGCTCATTTCATGTATGTATACACACACACACACACACATACACACACACACAGTAACCACCACTTCCAAAATCAGTGATTAAGGTCAGAAGTGCAAAATATGAATTATATAAAAAGAAAGAAGAATATCACTATTTTATTACTGACTTCAGGAATAGTAAAAAAAATTACCTAATCCTTGGTAATATGATTAGTTTAAATAAGGGTACTAATTCAACTGAGATATAACTTCCGAGGTATAGCTGTTGGGATTAAATGAGTTAATACATTAGAATAGTCTCTGATACATAGTATTTAATCTGTTTCATATGTAACTCAGTGAGGTTCAGCCATATAATTGATTATATTGTTATTCATCATTACTACTGATATTATTGATTATAATTTATTATATTGTTATAATTGATTATATTGTTATTCATCATTTCTATTACTGAAAATGCAAAAGTTTAAATCAAATAGACCTAAATTCAAACCCCAGGCCTACACTATAGGCATTCCAAATACCTTATCTGAGCCTTGTTTACCTTATAATTTGAAAAAGAAATGGTAGCCTACACTTATGGTAAAATTGCACAGAACAAAATATACACACACACACACACACACACACACACACACACGTACATGTAATATTGGTGAAATCTGAAAAAAAGGTCAATGGATTGTATCAATGACAATTTCCCAGTTGCAAATCTCTACTCTTCTATATAATAAAGATATAATAGGCAAATGGTTATTACGCCATGAAGTGTAATGACCGACCCTGTAATGACCGGATTATGGCTTAGCAGGAGGATGGGGCAGCGAGCTACAAGCAGGTGGCAGAGAGCTACTGGTGAGCTACTGGTGCATGGATTTGTGCACAGGGCTACTAGTAGTTATATAAGAAATTACCATTGGAAGAGGCCAAGTCAAAGGTACACAGGATTTATCTTACAACATGTGAATCTACAGTTATCTCAAAATAAAGTTTAAACCAAAGAAGAAATAGTGGCAAATATGATCATCACAGGAATTCAATGGAACAATGCTCATGAAAGCATTTAGCACTGTGGCTACACAGAGTAGGCACTTGATAGAAAATAATGTTCTTCTTTCCTTAACAGGCCTTCTCTAGAATGAAAATGCCATTTCAATGCAATGGTTCAAAATCAAAACAGCTTAGCTCTACATTTCAGCTGGACACAATACCACACTCAGAAATAAAACCACCCTCATCTTTTACATATGGAAAGTGTTAACTTTACTCAAATAGTGCTTAACTTTTTGTGGAAATAAGTCATATTATGTATAAATTTAAAATAACAATTTCTCCATAAGCCAAAGCTCATAGATCTGAATTTTCTGTTTTTTATAGTTTTATGCAATCCTAATTTTATGCCACCCTAATATGGTACTCTAGTGACAATAGCAGTCATCTCTCTTTAGCTCCCAAATACAGAAGAGATAGGACAGTGCCTACCAAAAAAACTAAAGCAATGGTTGAAAGGGTTTTACTAGTAAATATGTGGTCTCAATGCAGGCAACACAGCCACTCACTTCCACTCAAGCAACTTATATAGGCCCTAGGCACCATCTCAGTCCATGCTTAAACTAGTCCAGTCTAACATGTGCTTTAAAAGACTTCCATATTTAATTCCTAGCGTCCTAATATTGAAGAACACTATCCCAAGTGTTTTTAGTTCTTCAGACTCAGAGAACAAGAATGAAATTTGGATAGCAAGGCATATCTTTAAATTTTTTAATTAAATCTACTTCATCCGTAAACATGAACTGGAATGGTGAAAGTTACCCTATGGTCCTCTGTAGTCATTCAAGCTCCTGAATGCTTCATTACAACGAACACTCATAGTACCTATGAACCAAGTGCTGTTCATGGCTCTACAAGTCTGAGACACATGAGCCCCATCCTGGGGAATTAGTTTACAGTGGCAAGAACAAGCACACAGACTGGTCAATTGGTAAGTGCAGGAAAGGGTTAGACTGCTGTGGCAAAGGCAAGGGAAGTAAGTGGTTAATTCCTTCACAGGAGGAAGGAGACTCAGGAAAGTCTGCAAAGAATAACATCTGAATTGTCTTTAAATGTTACATCCCTAAGGATCAACATTGATGAGTTCTTACATTCAGAATAATACCTTAGTCACTGAGGATACGGCTAGCTATAGGATATTTCACTATCTCTGCCTCAGAGATCTTATATCTTAGATAACACAGAATACCTATCACATACGACCAAACATAAAGCCACCCTGAATATCTCTCTCCTATATGTCCAAGAAAACTTCCAATACTTATCTTCTTCCTGGTAAAATAATTAGATGTTTAAGCTACTAATGAAATATTCAAAGACCTAATTGATTTTCAGAGATGTTGATAAGATACTCATGCCTGTTTAAAATATTTATATTATAATTTAGTTAGAAACACATATTTTTAATTATGTATTAAGTAAAATATTACTTTAGGTAGGTGGGTTTTGCCCCACTTGCACATTTCATGCAACCATTTTGCTTAAATTATCCACAATGACTTCCCCATTATAAGTGCCACTTGCAGAGCTAAAACAGATCGTTTTTACTTCTAGTTAAATTATCTGATTTATAGCATTTTTTTGAATTTTGTGGGAGATGCTTTCAATAAGAATCTGGGTAAAGCAGACTGTTGGGTTTTTTGTTTGTTTGTTTGTTTGTTTGTTTGTTTTTCATTTGTCCTGTAGCTCTATGTTTTCTTTCTCCACAACAAAACCATTTAATTACTCTTTAAATATCTTCAATCTTTGCAAATCTGAGCTTTTTAACACCCTATCCAAGGAATAAGGAGAAAATCTGGCTTAAATGTCTTTGACTCCTTTTTTCTTTTAAATAATTTTGCCAGTGCTCTCTCAATAATCCCCTCAAAATAAGAATTTATGTTATATGAGAATAACTGTGGTTTCTCCATTCAATACATTTTTGTGTAACAGAGAAAGCTTTCTATAAAGATTTTTTAAGGACTTGAATAGAAAGCAGCTCTCTCTTTTTGGAGAGATCCCTTTAAAGGGGAAAAAATTTCTCTTTAATTTGGGTACATTTGATAGAAGACACTGTCAAAGATGCACATAAAGAATTTCAATTAAATTGTTTCATAAAAATGTTCTATCAAAGAAAAAGTAATATTTTTAAATAACTGAGAAAAGAAAGCAACAACTAAAATACATGAGGGGTTATTTAATTAGTATGTATAATAATAATTATAACAATTTTAAAAAGAGAGGAATAAATAAAAGTCAGAAGCCATAGTAGAGCTAAACCGGATGTGAAGTAGGATCTGAGGAAAGGAAAATAGGGCCCAGAGGGAGCACTCTAGGAAGGAGAATACCCAGGTGAAAAGAGAGCAATAAATAGGTAAACCCATAGATTCTTAAATGCACTGAATTTCTAGAAGAATGAAGAAGAGTGAGTACTCAAACCTAAATTTCTGCTTTGTGTGTTTATATCAGTCATGGTCCAATGTGGAGACTAGGGCTATGCAGTAATTTAAACAGAGTTTAATATAAATAATTATTAACTGTTATGGGGATCATCTAAAAATAGTAAAGAAAAATATCAAGAATACCTAGGGCTGGAGGGATGCCTCAGAAGGAAACATCTTGGAAGAGGTGCTCTC